GATCCTTTCCAATAACACCCGTGGGTTGTGCCCTCAGCCTCCACCTAGGGTGAGGAAACCTCTTCACCAAGCCGCCGCGGAGCCGCAGTCCCTCCTCGGGACTGGCGCGCGCGCACACGCACGCACACACACGCACACGCACACGCACCCCACGCGTGACATACACCTCTGCTACAGTTCCTTTCTCCTCACCTCCCCCCGAAAAACTAGAACAGGAACCAAACCAAAAAACCAAAACAACCCCAAAAAAAAGGACGACGAAAAGAAAACAAAATCACAGCTGGACCCTGTCCTACACGAGGTGTTAGAAAACAGGAGCCATGACAACACATTCATTTCCACTAAGGGTGCGCGAAGCAGATACTGCCCCTTCCGTAGCTCTCGATAAACCTAGTCACTGACAAACACTTGTGGAAAAACATATGCACCAGTCTCCTGCATAATACCAGCTGCAACTATAACAACAAGGTTATAACATAAACCTAAAATAAGATGATAACATGTAAATACTGGGTTATTTAGTCTACAGTACAGTAATCTGGATAAAAATGACAAGGGATAGCCTAATCTCCTTTCCCCAAACAACTTTTACTTTCCTACGTTGGATCGACCTTCAATGCAAATCTTAACCTCCTGAGGAATAAAAGAAGGCTTGGGAAGAGTCAAAGGTGGCTCCTCTTCTGATTTCTCTAGTTTTCGTGTTTCAGGGGCTGACCACCTCCTCTTCCTCGTTGCCGGGGGCTTGCTGGGTTCTGTTTTGGTGAGCAAAGGTGCTGCAGGCAATCCTATTTTGTCCGGAAACTTCAGTTCACCGTTCTCAGCTAACATCTGTGCGCTTCCCTGATTAATCCCGTTTTCCTGCTCCGCATACCTGTGTCTACTTCCAGCTAGACTGTCATTCTTTGAATGCTTCAGCAAGATACTAGCTGAGTCCATGGGCTGGCCCTTTTTAATAGAGCCGTTCTTCAGGTTCTTGAGCGTGAGCGATATGCAGACGTCCCCCACCGAGAGTTTGGAGCATGGCAAATCAAAGAGCTGGCTGGTTCTCTCGGGGCAGCAGGATGACCAGCCTTGTCCAAATACAAAAAAAGGGTATTCTACCAAGACTTCCACGCTGACCTGCAGAAAGACAGGGGACAACAGAGAGAGAGACAGAGGGGGAGAGAGGGGAGAGCGTGAGATCACCGGTGTGCCCGCGCGCACCCGCGTGGCAGGCGGCGCGCCCCGGGGGAGAGGGATAACGCTGAAATTGCCAAAGCACTGTTCGGCTTCCGCAAAATCAGTACGTCGACCACCAGACTTCACGCCTGTCCTTGTCACACGGGTGTTAATGGTTTCTCGGAGCTCAGCATTTCCTAGCACAAGACCTCAGTGGGACTCAAGCTTTACCTTTATCCAGCCGCTCAGAGAGGCGTTAGAGGCAAACCAGCTTTGGCATCTGGAAACTCCATTCCCCGCCATCCCCCTGTGGTACCTAGAGCCTGTCATCTACATCTAAAGACACTTTCCAGCCAGAGGACGGCTCAAGGGAAGCTCTCAGTTCTGACACACGATTTCCTAAATGACCACGGGAACGTCACCCTCACCCCGAACAAGCGTGTACTTACCAGTGTGAAACGGTTGAAGGCGTGCTGATTTCCAGGGGAAGGCCATGAGTGCGTACAGAGTTGCAGCTGTAAGAGCAGCGAGTGTGAACCTGCCTTCCCCCAGCAGCCCTGTTACCAGTCCAGTTTCTTCCCTTCTCACACCTGCTCCCCCACTCTGCACTTGAGTTCATCTCCTGCACTCCCTCAGGGAGAGGATCATCTCTCCTCCTCCTCCTGCAGTTCCTGCACTGGGTCTCCTTTTCTGCACTGTGTACCCTTCCCCCCCCCGCACTTCACCCCACTTGCTTTATGAATCCTGTCTAACACATCCTACAGGGAGCTGCCATAGCCAGGAGAACAGACCAGCAACAGGTGCACACTGCTCCTTGACCTGGCAAATGCTGGGCCTTGAGGTCCCAGCATGATAAAGCAGCTAAATACCAGCTGATCTTTGCACGTGTCAGCAGTCCGGCGCTCACTGCTGGACTGCGTGCGTCCTGAGGGCAGAAAATTCTGACTAATACTTTTTAAAAATTTGGCATGTGTTTTTAACTTGCCGTGTGTAACACCAATGAGGTCTGCAACTCTAAAAGGGTGGCTTATGCTGAATTCAGATATCCACTGCTCTGCTCCCAAGGTCCCTGGGTCCTCCGGAGCTCTTCTCAGGCATGGGGGGCAGCATCCTGCTCTGATGGTGTAACGCCTATTTGGTAAGGGCTAAAGGGCAGGAGAACACCTGAATACACGTGCTCATCTCATTTCTGAGCCATTCAGCAGGCACGGCGCATACCAGCTGCCTGGAGAGCCCTCCCTCTCCAGGAACACGGACTCACTTGAAAGGAACATCACAGCAGGCTTGCAAAACCACCTCTCACCCTTGGGAGCGAGTAACGCTGTCGTACTGAGCATGGCTTTGTATTGTTAAAAAAACAGTTCAACATTAAGGAATAGAAGCAGTTTGAGATGCACATTGCACTCCAGCATTCAAACACTCATACTAACAAGTGTGAATCTTGGGATGAAGTTGCATGGCCTGTCTCACAGAAGAGGCTGGACTGGATGACAGTACGGCACCCAGCAGCCCTGCCGCTTCCCTGCTAGCGCTGCTTACCCTCAGAGGCGTCCTCCCTGCAAGCAGGGCCAGAGGCAGCTCCCCCCGCACCTCACCGGCTCCACATCCCTTTTGGGCAGGAAGACTTGACCAGGGATGTCCCATAGCTCAGAGACAGAGCAAACCAAAGATTCCCATCAGATGTTGACTGTGCCTCCGACTGGTTAAGCCCATGCCATGCACTAGCCATCAACTGCAGTTTATGAGACAGTTGACTCTGTTGGAAAAAAAACTTATAAAGTCTATAAATACATGCTACCTACTTCTGCAACTAGGCCAATGAATAACACTGCATGTATTATCCTGCCACTCCACCTGCCCAACACAGTAAGCCACTGTACAAGGAATTTCAAAAGGAGCAGTTTAGAGGCACAAGATACCTCCCACTACATCAACTTCTGTCATATTAAACCTTTTCCAACCAGAACTGTCTGCCAACAGTCAACTACACACATGGCAACAGTGGAAAGGGACCTGACTCTAGGCCTGGTTTATGCTCTGAACTATGGAGAAAGTGGGGCAAGGTAACCATGAAAGTCCCATCCCTCCATGTTGTTGGATAGAAACACTCCAGCGCCAGGGTTTGCAGAAATATTTGCCCAAAGTTTGGGATCCCATTCCATGCATACGTATCTCAGTAACAGGTCTGACTGGGAGAAGTGGTGAATATCCAGTATCTCCTATGGACTTAAATGGAAACTGCTGCCTACACAGAGCTGTAGGCTTCTCTCCAGGCATGGATCATCTGGTGGACACAACTTTCTCCTTTATATTGCTATGTCTCTCCTCTTTCTTCCTTCCTTCCTGCCTGCTGTATTTTTTTTGCCTTTCTTTTTCTACTTTCCCATCCTTGTCAAAAGCTATTTCTAACTGTGGGAATCGTACATGCTCGTGTGCATCATCCTCACTGACACACAAGTTCCTCTTGATGTGAACATGCTTCCACTGCACGTTATATATTATTTTTTTTTAACGTGGCATCCAAAACACTTGCCTCGAACTGTCAATCACTGAAACAAATCCCAGAATTGGTGGTGGTGATCATGAATAACACCAAATAATAAAGATGGTGAAATGCCAGAATTTCCACAATCTGGTCACAGTGTGCATGTACCACGATCAATTTGAAATGGGTTCCCTCATGGATTCTCAAGCCCTGTTTCAGCTGGCTGCTTTGGGATTCAGCTAACTTGGGATTTAAGGTAACCATTCTCTACAAGCAATAGTAGTCAAAGACCTTTTAAGTGTGAAAGTTCAGTAAAAACACCCCCCCCATATTTTTTTTCTGACTGCTGCATTAAAACACAAAAAATTAATTTTAAAAGCTGCGTCCCCCAGTAGCTTGCCATGATTATTGTAGGACAGAAAGAAACTTGGAATTTGTTTTCCAACTACTAAGACGATAGAGCAAGAAACCAAAATGTTGGTCCCTCTTCAAGCACACCGAGGCTCTACCGCAAGCCTCATTTATATTTCTAGTTTTTAAGACTGACTAGTGAAAACACCCAAAACTCTTCAGTGCAGCCGCTGAATATCTGCAATGTTTTATAACCCTTTATAATTTATTTCTCAGCCAAACTCAGTAGGTAAGGCAGGCAATTCAGACTGCTCAGGAAACCCTGGCTGGAGCTGCAACACGGATGATAGGTGCTGGAAGATCTGATGCACAGAAAACACCCTTCCCATCGTTCAGAAACACAGCAACTTTAGCCTTGGGGCTCAAGGCTGCAACCAATGTAACAAGCACTAAAGCAAAAGGTGCCTATTAAAAAGTGGTTCATGTGAACTGTATTTTAATAAATGTAAACATACATTTTCCAATTAAGTGTTTTTCTCCCTGATATTATTAAAATGTGATGAAACTGGGAGTGGCAGGCTGGAAACAAAGCAAAGGAAGCAGTTCTGGAAACAATGTGCAATTAAGTGGTGGAGCTCTCCGCTGAAGGCCTTGCTGCGGGTGCCAAAAGACTCCTTGGGTCCAAAAAACAGCTGGGTGGATTTGTGGAATAGAAGCTCTCCCTCTCGCAAAGAGAAGTCTCTGCAGTGCTGCGCTCCCACACGACCTCCTGTACTCAGAGACTTGGGGACTCCTAATGCTCACAGCACCCCGAACACCACCTACCTTCACAGGAGCAGATTTTCTTTCAGAGATTTACGGGGCTGTAGGCAGCACCTTGTGCCCTGGGGACTACCTGGCACGACACGTGGTCTGGGTGGGCATCCCCCCAGGGCTGCATCTAGCCCATCTTCAGTACAACGTTATTATAACAAACACACCCAGGGCTTGAAGGTTAGGGGCTACTGCTCTCCACAGCCACGTGATCCCACCATTTGTCAGGAGAAGCCACCTCTGTCCACCAGACCACTGGCTGCCGAGTTTACCACATGAGCTCCTATCTGCTGCACTCCCAGAATTCAGTAACATGCATCCGAAGACAGACCACAGCCGCCCCATCACTCGGAGGAACAAGGACTTACTGCCGCCGTGACCAGGGGGCACGGACACAGAGACCACATGAGGGGAAGGCTGGGAGAGATCTCCACCTGCAGCAGCGAATTGAGCTAACATCTCTCTGTGTCCGTTACGGTGCCGAAGAAAATGAAAAGGAGAGCACGGAGTAAAAGAAAAAGTAACTGGTCTGTGTGCGTGCAGAGCTATAAGGAGAAAACTAAACTAGATGGCGGTCTAAAAAAATATGCACTAAACTAGTTAGGGCTACTAACTAGATGCTCTAACAGGACTTTTCCATCTCTAGTGTCTATGATTCTATTTTTTAAAGAAAGGAAAATTAAGAACTGTATGTTCATCTTTTCTTTTTAAGCTATACTTTAGGAATGATTAGGAACTGAAACACTGGGATGAAAGCAAGCAGTTCAGAGAACTTATTTTGCATCTCCTGTGTGTTTTGACCCTAACATCAATGGAGATGAATTACTGGCTTCCGCTAGTTCCTGGCAGCAAAAGAAAGGACAGGTAATAATGATGAAAGTGTTATTACAAGAACAGTATGTGGAATTGCAAAGAGATGCAGACCCGTAGGTCTTTTCTTTTGGGCAACTTGAATGCAGAGGAATAACAGCTGGACTTTGGGTTCTGGTCCAGTTGATACTTACTTGACTTCCTCCTAATGCAGAGCAGGGATGCTGTGAAATGGAAACCTAGCATCCCTCCAGGGCTAAGGCCAGTTATTTCACTGAAAAGGCACGTAGCTTTAGGTGGGTTAATTTTCCTCTAGGTTTCCATACCTGGAAGAAGGCTGGATTTGCCAGGTGATTGGAAGACTTGGAAGACAGGGAAAGGAGGGAGGATGACCTCTTTCTGCCTCCGTGCTGTGCTGGGGAAGGGCAGCTGTGGGCTTGCAGTGATACAATACAATAGCAGCTGCATGGTGCCTCCCTATTTACATTACAGTTGTACATGCTCAGCTAAAAATAATCTCCTACCTCTGTCCCTCAGTCGGAGAGAGAATTAGCCAATGTTTGCACAGTGTCTGAAAATACAAATTCATCAATATTATAATGACTTCCCAGAGATCCCTGGGAGGAGTACGTAAGTGAGCCAAAGCTAATGATAACAATGCTATTTTTGTATGGCACTTACTCTTTACAACTTACACTCCCTTGGTAATACCATTCGAAAAGCTCCCTCCTTCCAGAAGTATGCAACTGAACTTGATTGTAATAAAATACTTTGCGAAGCTACACTACACATGCAGATATATCCCCACTGTACTCCGGAGTCAAAGATATATTTAAGTGCAGCAGCACCACAGTGCCACTGCTCAAAGCGGCGCAACTAAATACTGTTCTTTCAATGAGAACACTAAGCCCTCTTCACACAGGCAATTTTCTAACGAGTAATGACTGCCGCATGCCTGCTAATAAGGCTAAATGCTTTCATATAGGCAGGTCGGGCTGAGGGTGAGGTCACCGGAGACTTCAAGCACGTAGAAACGACCTCTCGTGCGTGCTCTCTCTCAACCCAGGCAAGAGAAAACCGGCAGAGCCGTCCCCGCTATGCAGGGACACAGCTGATCTGGGAAGAGACCCAAGTCCTGGAATCTGCAGGAAACCTAAATTAAACCCCCGTTTCTAATCATATCTCTACGTGACTCGCCCTTCATTCTGGAAGCATCCCCGGTGGGAAACACAGCTGGGGAGTATTTCGGCTGCGATGATGTCAGCCCGCTCCTGATAGGCTTCTCCGTAAGGTGACACTTTGCTGGGTGAGACCCGTGTGCCTGGCCCTGGATTTTTACAGCCTCAGACTCGCCTTGCTTTCTGCCAGAGGATGGCACTCCACCCCCTGCAAAGGCACTCTTCCCGGCACCCAGGACTACAACACACCGCCCGCGTTGACAGGTCTGTGAACGAGACATGACACAAACGCTACCTGCTAATTTGTACCTCTTCTGCTGGTGCAGAGACCGGTGGCCTGGCTGCAGGGAGAGAAATGAGAGCAAGAAAAAAACTGCAGATGGGAGATTGCTACTTTTGAACTCTAGTTATTTAAGGCACCGGGGCAAATTATAGTAACTGGTCCTGATCCAAGGATGGTTTCTCTAATCACGAAGCCTGAGATGCACCAAAATACAGTTGAGCGGTGGGGAAAAAATCATGTCTTTATACTGAATGCACCAGAGGACCAACTTCTATCAGCTGTGCAGATGCACGCACATACATGAACAAAACCACACAGGGAATCTGCCCATTTGACATGAGAAAGGGGAGGTGTCATATGTAGCGATTTACCATGGACGTGCAACTGGAGGAGGACAAGCCACAGACTGCTGCGACTGTAAGAAATTTTTCATGTAATCTGCTCCTTGGTACCGTCACTGTTTGTTTTTCTTCTCCAAACTGTCAGCCTGAGGTGCTTTACTACATGTGTCCACGTCCAGCTCCTCTCTCCCTCTCTCTCATTCTGGTTCTCCAGCGCTGAGGGTTGCAGATGCTGCAGTTCACAGCACTCAAACCGCACCAAAAAGATTTGCAACAAGAGTATTTAAAATGAGTACCTCTAGGAAGCAAAATGCTACCTGGTATATCTGAACTGCTCCAGCCTCAATACAGCAGAATCTAGATTGCTCAGAAAATGGACAGCATCAGGATAACACTTCATAATCAATATGTACTCATTCTCAACCTGAAATACCTTTGGAAAGTTACAGGGTTTCTTCCTATGTTGTGAACCAACAAGAAACAAAGGTCAACAGCACAGCCTGCCCAGCCACCCAGATGGTTTTCCTTTTCAAATTTCCCTTGCACACAGTTTATGCGAGCTGTGCAGTGTTTAAACCACCCGCAACTGAAGCCTCAGTAAAACTCTGTAGTGCATTTCAGTAACTTACGTGCGCAATGGAGCCATTCCCAGGCAGCTCCAAGTTTTCAAGCCGTGGAAATTCACTGCCTTGTGCCCTACCTAGCTCTCAAGGGTAGGATTTGAGCTGAATCTAACCTGAGCTTTCTGGTGTGGAAGGTAAAAATCACCTATCAAAATGCAAAATATATCCTCTTGTACTGCTTACACTGTTTTATATTTTAATCAAAAAACATGAAGATCATGTAATTCTTCCTGTGGGTTCTCTAGCTATAAGAAAGACCCATTTTATATCCAAGACACTACACTTATCATCAGTGTGACCCTGATGGCTCCCTTGGCACAGCGAAGGGGGTGATTTTTGGACCAGAGTTGGTCTCACAGATGGATGTGAACGATGAAGAACCAACCCCGCATGGACCCAAAGCGACTGAGACATGCTGAGGAAAGCTGCAGCTGGGGGACCACGGCGTGCACCCCAGTCCACCCCCTGCCCCCCACCATGCGTTGCCATTACCTGTGCTCGATGCTCCCCAACCGCAAACTGTATCACGGCAATGCCTGGGCTATGGCTCTCTTCAATCCTCTCCACAGTGCTGGAGTCTATTTTCAGGTCGTTGCTAATTTCCGCGCTCTGTATGAAGTCTTCTGTTTTCAAGTCCTCTACTTTCTTCAGCTCCCCGTTGGCCAGCTGAATGATCGACCCCTTCATGAAGTAGGGGGGCAGCGTGGGAGGCGCGGCGGCGGGGGAAGCGATGGACTGCACCACGGGCAGGTGGATCTGCGCCTGCACCATGGTGGCCTGGTAGGCAGGCTGAGTGGTGAGGGGCTCCGCGCTGAAGTTCTCGCTTTTGGGGACGGCGGTGGTGACGAACGTGTGAGGCACTGCTGCAAACTGGGGAGACGACGTGACGATCGCAGGCGTGACTCCCGACGGCTCGACGTCCACGCCGCCAACCTGGGTGCCAGGGATCCCCAGGTGCTGCGGCAGGCTGCCGGGGTACCCGATGGCTTGCTGTTGACCGCTCAGGTAGCCAATCACCGGCGGCTGGGTCCCGGCGTAGAAGGCTGTTGCCGGCAGCCCGACAGGGAGTTGCTCGGAGGCGCTGTGGGTGGTCTGAATGACAGTGTGAGGGGACAGTGTGGCCACTGCCTTCACCCCCTCATGGCCCAGATCCTGCTGTGGAGACAAGGCGTAGGACCGGTGGGCTGGCTTTCCTAAATGCAAGCTTCCCTTGTCATTGAGGGCTGAGGGAGAGGTCTCACGGTTGGTGGCCTGCTGCACCTCCATGTCCGCCGTGGGCGTGCTGCTGTTGGGGACCACCATGATGGAGGCTCGGACACCTGAGGAATCCCGCGCGCCGTACTCGGCGGGGCTCGAGTGGACCACCACGTGCCTGGTCTCGTAATGATGGGGGGCTGGTTTATTGCCTGCTTTGACTAGACCCATGTCGGCAGAGGGTGAAATGCCGTATCTCCGGCTCTTCTCTATCTCGCCATTCAGTACCTCCTTGGCTTGCATCGCCTGCAGCCGGCTGCTCTCAGGCTTCTTGGGGGGGTCCCTGGTGACAAAGTGGCCCCCCGAGTCGGTGTACTGCACCACCACTTGGGAGGAAGGGCCGAGGGTGAGGGTGTGCGGGATCACTGTCTGATGGGGGTGCAGGGGGACCGGGATGGTTGGAGGAGAGACATTTCTGACAGTGCTCTGGGAAGAGCTGGAAATGTGGACGTACTGGTTTTGCTGGGTGGGTGGAGGAGACCCGGCAGCGATCAGTCCAGGCGTCCTGACCAGGTGCGGCTCACTTTTGTGGCCCTGCTGGCTTAAGCCGCTCATGCTGGCCAGCAAAGTGGAATAAGCCTCCAGCTGGGAGCGCTGGGATGGAGTGGTCGCAACAGCCGTGGCCGCTGCCACGGCGCTGGTCGCAGAATTGGCCGTTGGGGAAATCAGCTGTGAGGGGATGAATCCGGTGTACGATCCGCTGTACTGGGGCCCGACGAACTGGAAGGTGTGCTGCAGGTGTGCAGGGGTCCCTGACTGGGAGAGGGCGGGCGAGTACACCGTGGGAAAAGTGGTGGAGGCTGGAACGGACCTGGGTGCACTCGGTGGGGAATAGTCCAGCCCTGCAGACAGCGACTTGTGCAAACCCTGCTGCAAGCCCGCCTCCACCGACGATGTTCCCCCAGGCCGGTGCCGGCCCCCCAGGCTGCCCTGGCCGCCGGGTGTGCTGGGGAGCCATGCTAGGTTATCCGCACGGTGGTTTTCGTTTGGCAGGACCGGCTTCACCTCCGAAGGCAGGCTGGTGGCAGGGATTTCTCGCTTCTTAGGTGGCAGGCATTCATTGCTCCGCTCTTGGTTGGATTTCATCTTTCGCCGTCCCCCCTCCACTGTGCTTGCTTCACTGTCTGGCTGGCTCTGATTTCAGTCTGATAAACGGAAAGTCACATTTGATTTCTGCAAGGGATCCAGTGACTTCATGAGGAATCATCTCCCCGTGAGCACGATTCTCCGACGGCTCCTCTGGATTCTGCAACGAAAGGGTGGGCAAGGGAGGGGGGAGTCACATGGTCAGCACTGGGAAATGAGAATGAACGAGCAGATGCCCCAAAACAGCAAGCGAGTAAAAGAAAAACCTCTGGAAAAAACAAAACCGGTCAGGCATTGCTGCTCTCGTGTCAAGGAGCAGTTGACAGCTGCACTGTAAACAGCAGCGAAAATCCTGGGCATGTCTACTAATGCATCACGAAAACGACTAAAACTTTAGGCAGATCAGAAACTCTCTGGCCGTAACTTGCCACATTTAGCAGTGGTCACTTATTTCCCAAGGCTCACTTTCTCCTTCCTCTGGGAAAACCCTCCATGTCTCTAAGGTGCCCAGTTCGCTCTTCCAGTCTCTCCTTCCCCTGCAACAATGATGTTGCCTTCCCCCTGCTGTGTCCTAAAAAGCCTGGGAGCGTGGCAGGGAGCCCTGAGGAACATGCACACACAAAATATTTACATTAGCAACAAGTAGCTATTAGCGGTGCGGAGAGAAGGTGGTGGGTCACTCCTGAACTCTTGAGCCCCAGAGTCACCCACAGGGTGGACTTCACATCACACTGGGCAGGGGGCTGCGGAGGAAGCAGCTGCCCCCGTTCCCCGCCGATGCCACGGCTCCTTACAGGCACACGTGCCCTTCATCTACCAGTCTGGCAATGAACCTCGGCCGCACGATCTGTTTACAGCAGCAGCCCAGAGCCAGAGATGGCTCTGAGCCAGGTTTTTAATGCGTGGGGTTTTTTTTTTCCCCCCAGTGCTTTGAACTCCCGCTGCTACTGACACCTCACACTCAGGTGCTCGGGCAGGGCTCTGAGGTGGGAGATGCCCCCCACCGCACACATGTCCGCCAGAGCCAGGCGCCCGCACCATCTCCATCGGGATCCAATTCCCCTGTTTCTTAGTGACTGCCAGACCAGGGAGGCTGCGGGTACTACGCTTGCGGCCACGACCGCACGCCCAAACCCTGAGCAAACTCAGCCCTGGGGATGCCTCACTAGGACTGCTTGAAAAAGCACATTTGGGTTTTCTGATCCAAACCAGGAGCCCCCACCACTGTAAAAGCTGACAATTTTATATTGAGCTAATTTTGCTACTAAAGCAAAACAGTTGCTTTCTCTGCTCTGCATCACTTAAGCCAGTGACTCTGCCACCCAAAGGCAACAAAGTCAACAAAGTCTTCCGAACTCTTTCAGTATCTGCTAAGGAAAATACCATAACTAAATCCCATCATGCTTTGAAAAAAAGCAGGAGGAGCTGACAGTCTCCCCCTACCTTCCTGAAACCTGCCCTGCCTTGTCCCATAACAAAGTTTATGGAGAGTGAAACTCTTCCCCAGCCCCCATCCAGTCACCGCTTGTCATCTGCATTTCTGGCTGTTTTGAAAGATATGCAAGAATGGGCGCTGAGAAACCATGCACCTCACACAACTGGCATCGTAACAAGAAAAGCATGCATTATATGAAAGACAAATGGAGAGAGAAAGAATTAAGAGTGGATGTGAAAGAACATGGAACTAGGATATAGCCCACTTTAAAGTGAATGCTGAGCAGCTGTAATGATACTTATGGCAAGTAATATTCCTTTGGGGGATTTCTTTCCCTGCTGCCTTGCTTCTAATGAACAATAAGCCTGATGTTTATATGCGTATGCAGTACTTTGAAGACATACTAGACTACGATTAAACCTATCTTTAAGAGCACTCTTTACATTTATGGTCCTCCAAACTGCTGTAAGCCTGCAGGAAAAGTCCAAACATTCTAATGGTTTGATACAATCAGTCTTAATTATTCTGTTGTTTAAATATTGATAAACGGTAATGAAACACCAATAGCCACAGAGCTGGGGTGGGGTAAAGCACTGTTTCAGGGCAGATTCCCCAGCTTTGAGGCGAGAGGGAAGACGAAAGGACTCTGGGCAGCTTCAAAAGAGCAAGGGCCAGCGACACCTTGAGCACGGCGGCTCAG